ATGACTTAGGATATTTCTCTATGTGATCCATGACAAACAAGTCAGTGAAAAATTGGCAGAGATGAGGTATAAAGCTATTTTCTGAGTTTAGTTACTGAAGCATTCAAACGCACAGTTCAGAAGAACACATCAAGTCTTTTTTTTGTTTTGTTTTGTTTTGTTTGGTTTTTTTTTCGAAACAGGTTTCTCTGTATTGTTTTGGAGCCTGTCCTGGAACTTGCTCAGTGGACCAGGCTTGGTCTCGAACTCACAGAGATCCACCTGCCTCTGCCTCCCAAGTGCTGGGATTAAAGGCATGCGCCACCACTGCCCGGCAAGTCGTTGGTTTTAAACAGCGAGAAGGATAGAGCACAGGCCACATACATGCAGAGCACATGCTTTCCTGTAAGCTGAGTCTCCAGTTACCACGTGACTTTTTAGAATGGTCATCTCTGTAAGTAGTATGGGCTGTTCACTTAGGAATATTTCCATTTTGTTCACAAAGAAAATAAACAGGGAGTTCATGTGACATTTGAAGTATTTATATATGTATATATATTACATATATAATATGTATATCTAAACTCAGTGTTCTAAGATAGGCATCTGTAAAATAATTTATTATACCCATTTTGTTTGAAATGAGTAGTAACAGCTATTTCCAGAAGACGACTGTAAAATATTAGCAGTTTAAAAAAGGCTTTATTTGCTTGATTAAAAAAAATGCCTTCAATAAAAAATAAACTCCAACACTACTTTTTTTTTTTTTTTTGGTTTTTCAAGACAGGGTTTCTCTGTATTGCTTTGGAGGCTGTCCTACAACTCGCTCTGTAGACCAGGCTGGCCTTGAACTCAGAGATCCTCCTGCCTCTGCCTCCCAAGTGCTGGGATTGAAGGCATGTGCCACCAACGCCCAGCACTCCAATACTTCTTAAATTATTATAAAGAACTAGGCACTGCACTGGTCTCATAGCAACTACTCAGTTTTACTACATCAAAAGTCAACAGAATCATGCCTGGAACCTTGTTTCATGGCCAAGGCTGGAAAGGAGAAGGAATCTGCAGAGGAAGAAGTTCTGAGAACCACCACAGGAGCACTGGCTTCTGTCTCTTGAGGTTTTGTACTTGACACGGGACACCACAGCATTACAAACCTTGCTGCAGTGTCAACTTAGAAATGTTCCAGAGGAGCCAAGGCTTCCCTGCTGATTACGTAATAAAAATGAAGGCAACCCTGAACTTCCTGGACATTGCCATTTCTGTCTCTGCACCGACCCTGAACTCCCACGGCAGCTGTCTCTCTGTTTGTTACTCAATCTGCTATGAGTTTCACTGCTTTAAGGGTATTAGCTGATGGTAGTCCCAGTAGCCTCAAGATGTACCTCTGCTGGGCAGACGGGAACCACGAGACAGCAGGACTAAAATGTCTCTAGAGACTCCAATGCTTCAGGGTCATCTAAAGCACTCACCCCGTGGCTCTTTCTTCAAGACAGAGAGCACTGGCCGTCTCTGGACAGTAACATCCTCACATTTTAGTTAAGACATCTGAAGGTCAGTAAATCCACCAGGATCAAATGTTTATTTTTGGAGATGCTGTTGGCTCTGCCATTATTAGGTAATTAAGAACTGTGAAATTTAATTTGCAAGATGTTGCGATGCTTGATGTCTGAAAACTGTTTATAGTAACAAACAGAGAACATTATAATCAAGTTTAGGAAGAAACAAAATGAGCCGGCCCGTTGTTGGTGCATGCTTTTAATCCCAGCATTCGGGAGGCAGAGGCAGGCGGATCTCTGTGAGTTTGAGGCCAGGCTGGTCTGCAGAGCAAGTTCCATGCCAGACTCCAAAGCAATACAGAGAAACCCCGTCTCGAAAAAAAAAAAAAAGAAAAAGAAACAAAAATGAGTTTTAATCCTCATTCTTTCATTCTTTTCATATATGTGTGTGTATATATATGGCAAAAATGTATTAATGATGCACTGTATGTATACAAGGGTGGTTCCCCAATAGCACATGCACTAGTGACATGGTAGCCCTCTTAGTATGTACAGACAAGACTCCTGCATGTTCACAGTTTCTAGACTCACATAGCCCTATGTTTACTGGTGGAAACCATCTCAGCCCTTAAGGGGTACATGAGCACAATGAATGACTAAGACTAAGAAGTCAATGTCACCTACTGCTATTACTTACTGTAACCTTTGGATTTTTCCTACCAGCACTCCCAGGATGTACTGGTGATAAGCAAAAATCAAACTCAAACCTCAGAACAAGACCCCTGAATTCACGAGCTTGTAAAAACTAAAGGCCATTCCAAAAATGATGCTTTCTTCTGAAACCGGTGATTAACCCAAAGTCCCACACAGTGCAAACACAATAAGCAGTAATTGGCAAATAGGGGCCGGGGAGACAGTTCAGTCAGGAGAGCAGGGAGAGCTGAGTTCAACCTCAGAACCCACATACAAATACATGGCATAGTGATGGGCACTTAATGCTAGCTCTAGGGAGGTGGCCACAGGGGATCCTATCCATTGGCCAGCCAGCCAGCCTAGCCTAATCAATTACTTCCAGGCCAGTGAGTGAGAGAAAACAAAGTGATCAGGGCCTGAAGGATGACACTCAGGGGTGACATCTGCACATGTGCCTACACACACACACACACACACACACACACACACACACACGCACGCACGCACGCACGCGCACACACACACGCATAGATAGGAAAACCAATTTGAAAACTAAATACATCTAGCCTCACAATTTACATTAGGATAAATGCTACTAACACAACTCATTCGACACACGTGGAAAGCAATAATTTCAAAGTCTGAGAAATACAAATCCTTGAGGTTGGGAATTCAGTTTACTGATGAAAGTATTTGTCTAGAGGGCTCAAGGCTCTGAGTTCGATCCCCAGCACTCGCGCCCACACACACACTCACACACACACAATTATAATTTAAATCCTTAGCGTTAAACCTTTCAGACTTTTAGATAACGGTTTGCTACTCTTGTACGAAGTTCAGGCTATTTCTCAGGTGACTAGAAATGTGTCCCTGACAGCAGGCAGTTCTCCCTGTCTCTCATGTTTTGGGATTTTGTTTTTTCCCCCTGCAGTGTGGAATGTTGAGCTGCTGGGAGTTATGTGTTTGGCATCTCAGGCGTTTGTTAACTCTTGGAACATCGGGTCAGGAGGACACAAAACTCTGTCACCTCCTCCCTCGGCCCTCACAAAGGGTCTATGGGGCGAAGACTAATACTCAGTGTCCGCTTTCCACACAGGGGAACCAGAGGCCGCGGGAGAGGCTGGGTGGCCTGCCCACGAGGCGGGAGAACACGGGAGGCCGGGGTGGAGCACGGGCAGCAGCAGCAGCACCTCCGGGAAGGGGATGACACAGTACCCGTGGGTAGCAGGGGCTCCAGCGGGGTAAAGGCACGCTCCATGGCGGGCTATGGGCTTTCTGCGCGGGAGAAAAAAAAAAAAAAAAAAGAGGCTCCGAGTTAAGAAAAAAAACTTCCCCCAAACCTCATTTCTGCAAAAGGAGTTGAGAGCGAGCGGCTCAGCTTGCACTCTGAACCCCCGGGGCACTGCGGGGGGAAAAAGTCCCGGAGAGGAGGCAGCAGGACGAGGACCCGGGGCAGCAGACCCAGAGAGAGCTTCCAACCGGGCACTGGCGGCGAGGACCGGCTTCTGTCCCTCCCTTCCTCCCTCTGTCCATCCCTCAGTCCCTGCCTCCGTCCCTCCTTCTCTTCCTCCCTCCTTTCCTCCGTCCCTCCCTCTGTCCCTCTCTCTCCCCTGCCCTGTGGCCCCGCTGCCCACGCACCTTACTCAAAGGCGGGTGGAGCCACAAGCAAGGGATCGGCTGCTTGGAGCTCAGCTGTGGGGCCTGAGGGGAGCACAGGTCGGTTGGGTCGTGGGTGGGGGAGGGGAAGGGGGAAGACGGAGGGGAAGGAGGCGGGGCCGCCCCTTTCGAGAGGGGCGGTGGGCGGGGCGGAAGGGGCGGGGCAGGGCGCCCAGGGAGGCGCGGGGAGTGGGGGGGGGGCGGAGGCTGAGATTCATATAAAAATATTTTAAGCCAGTCAAAGGGCTTGCCATGCAAGTCTGAAGATCCGAGTTCAACCCTCAGAACTCAGAGTGCAAAAGAAAGATCCAACTGCTCTAATTTGTCCTCTGTCCTCCACACAGGCATCATGGCTGGTGTACATGCACACACACACTGAACAGTAAATTGGTACTATTAAGACATGTGCGCTTAAACATAGTTTACAGAGTGAAAGTTCCCAGCAAACATTCCTGTCCTCTCAGTCAAAGAGTGATCATTACATCTAAAGGGTAACAAATAATAGGTTACCTTCAACAAACAGACCTTACTGATACATATTTAGGAACTGAACACTGATTAACATTTATATTCTCAACTAATTCAAGGATTTCACATGCAACCTGACTATCATTTTTCCCTAATGAGCACATGCATTTTCTTCCTGCTTAAAAAGAAAAACAACAATAACAACAAAATGAAGGCTATGAGTAGAAGTAAGAGTAGTATACTAGAAAAGCAGAAATAACTGGAAACAAGCTCAAATCTAATTCTTACACAAAAATTCAGTATGGATTTTCTATAGACTGACATTAACAGCCTTAATAACAGAAACAGAAGAGGGCTTGAAGAGGCAAAACCACCTCCAGTACCCATTATTATTTGTAGATGGCTTTTGGTGTGTGGGTTATTGCAGGCAATTCTTAGAAACAATCTCTCTCATTCTGTCTGTCTGTCTCTCTCTCTCTCCCTCCCTCCCGCCCTGTGTGTGTGTGTGTGTGTTTGTGCATGTGTGTGTGTGTGTGTGTGTGTGTGTGTATGTGTGTGTGTTACACGTGCTGTCTGTAAATGTATGTGTGCATGTGTAGAGGCCACAGGAGGATGCCAGGCATCTCCTTCTATTGTTCTCTGGCTTATTGCCTTGATTCAGGATTCTTATTGGACTTGACACCCATCCTTTGGTTGTGGCTAAACTTGTTGGTCCATGAGCTCTAAGAATCTACCCTGCAACAAGGGATTATAGACAATTGGCCATGTCCAGTTTTTTAAAGAGGTGGCAGGGTATTGAACCCAAGTCATCATATTTTCTACAACAAGAGCTCTTACCTACTGAACCATCTTCCTGGCTTTGAGAAATTAACCTTAATCCTAAACTAAATCAAGAGGAAATCCCAGGTTTAACAAATCAGGAAGAAATTTCTATTAATGTTTTACAATATTTGGCATTAGATCAGCATTTAGTCAGATAATGATACTTGAAAAAGGCAAGTTCAGATGGAAATAAAAGCATTTTAGATCACAGCAAAAAGAGACTTAGTATACAAGGAAGCCATGATTAGCTTTAATTTAAAGACATGTAAAGTATACTAGGAAGCCAGGATTAGCTTTAATTTAAAGATATGTGCTCAGTATTCAATAATGATCCTTGGACAATGTAAGAAAACTATAGGAAGTAACAGTCCAATGAAAATAGATTCAAAAATCTTCAGTACAAATTTGCATGTCAACTACACATAAACAGATCATTCACCATCATCACGTGAGACTTGTCCCTGAGGTAACAGGGCAGTTCAGGTATGAAAATCATTAAGTGTGAAACAGAGCCTTAAAAGACAAAGGGAAAAGCTTTGCAATCCTTTGGGCAGATGGAAAATGAGAATCTAAAGAAAACAAAAACCCTATGTAAAAGATTCTAAAATAAAAGGCATAAGGGAATGTAGCTCAACACAGTAACACTCACACACAAAAAGCCACAGTTGACTTAACTCAACAGCTAAACACTGATGTTTTCCTGTAAGATCAGAAATGAGACAAGGCTGACCACACATGACTTTGCTTTGACATAATAGTGAAAATTTCATCTAGAATAATAAGAAATTTGTATTACTACATTATCGATAACCAAATCAGCTCCCAGCTACAGTTGGTTGTAAAGACTCCATTCTTTGTTATACCACCAAGCCTTCAAATTGCTTAGTAAAACAAAGTAAGGGAGGAGGGATGCGGCACCTCCAGCTTAAGGTGTAAGAGTCATTAAGGCCAAGTTTACAGCTAACTATAGGGTACATGGCTTTTCCAATGTCTGGCTGCTGTCAATATATGACAGCAGCCAGACAATCACGTATATTGTTCCTTAAGCCAACTCATAGAGCTAGTTCAATGTTCTAGAATGGAAGTGGTAAAACTTGAAGACGTGAAATATCTAAGTTATTTTATTGACTTTGGCATGCTGAAGAAGTTTGCCTCTGCACTCACTAGTGTATAATTCATTAAGGCAGGGCATATACCATTATGAACTAGGGGAGTGGCATGTGAAAGTCGCTTGAACATTAGAGCCAATCTAGAAAGAGAGCAGCTACTGCCTCTATGGATTGCTGGAAAGGACTCAATAGAATAACTGGAAACACTCACTATGCAGAACTCAGAACTCATCACAATGGGCCTGTGACAGCGCAGGAGAAACCAACCCTTTCCAAAACCACGCACCAAAGGCGCCTGACAAGACAAGAAAGGGCGCACGGATGGAAGGAAACGCCCTCCTTCTAATAATGCCTTTTCATCCTCTGCAGATGCCACTAAATATCACATTTGTCGCAACGGAGAAACACCACCAGTGGGATGGCCCAGCCTCAAAGGATGGAAGACAAAGCTTAAAAGGCACAGGTCCACCATTAGAGGCTAATGAAGGCTCGTTTGGAGCTAAGAGCAAGCTAATAGCCAACTCATAACATACGTAAATTATTTTTATTACATTTTTTCCAACTCTCATGGTGAACACATATTTATTCAACTGCTTCAATGTCCTCAGAAATCCTAAATGGTCTCTTTCCTTCCCTCACCTAATACTTCTCTAGCCTGATCCAATGTCCTGCACAGAACAGCTTGTATCCGGAAGGTGCTTGTACTGAACTTACGACGGCCTAAATGCCTTTCAAACAACAAGGCCAGCCTAGATTTTTAAAAACCATCACTTTTTAATCTTATGAGGATACAAAAGGCCCCATGGGGCACTGAGTTTATTGAACATTTTTCCCACCCTGAGATACAGAACAAAGCAGGTTTGGTTTAAAATTCCCCCTTAGACCTGTGTCTCCATCTGTGCTTCCTTTTCCAGCAATAACTGAAATAATTCACATGAAGGGAAACAAAGAGGAAAAATAGCCCTGTGGATTAATCCTAAATTTTCACTTTGAAAGTTATATGGCATATATCTAAAGGAAATGTTCGGAATATATAAAATGTATACACCAATGAACAAAGAGGCCAATGAACAAAGAGTACAACACCCTTTTACCTCACACCTACCTTTGCCAAGTGTCACCATTCAACACTTCAGATATCCATAAACCCCCCAAAACTGCTGTTCCCTAAACTGCCATCCCCATTCCCAACAGCCCCCAAGCCCTAATCAGCACACCCACTATTCTTGATTTAAGATTCACTCTCATAGCTTACAGTCAGTTGTTTTGTTTTGTTTTACATGGTGTGTGCTTGTAAGCATAAGCAGCATGCAGTATTGTGTCATGGTGTTTAAATTTTTAAGCAAGGTGTTCAAATGTTTTCTTTTTCTCTGAATATTAAGAGCAAGAGATTTCAACTTAAAATATGCATCCAATTTACTAGACGCACCATGACTTGTACAGATTTAATAAATTCATCAAAATATTTATATTTTAATAATTCTGCAATTAGCATCTATATGCATGATCGTACACATATGGGATGTCTTCTCTCTGGATGTCAAATATCTAAATGAATAGTCACCATGTCCTAGAATATGCACATTACTAATTTTACTACATCATGCCAGATCATTGCCCATAATGACCACACTAATCTACACCAAATGAAATATGGTTAAGATAGCAAAAAGCTGAACCAGACTCATGGCTTCTGTTGGTATTGAAAGGGAATGAATAGGACATGCTTATAAATTAGATTATGGTTACTAATAGCAGATGCCCTCAGTGTAATAGTACAAGATAAAGGGTTGAGTATCAAATGCTCTCTCTGCATTGAGTCTTAGCTGGAGACTAGACCCTGGATAGAGATTGGCATCCTCAGAATTTCCCTTATTAGCAGTCCAAAAACAAACCTTTGATAATTCCCCTCTTCAAAGTCCATCCTCACTGCCTTGACTTGATTGAAATGTGCAGAATAGTCAGACCTAAGGGTTCTGTTTGTCGCTAATGTACCTCAGTTCTCTTTACAAGAGGCACTGGAATTATTCATGGCTTGCATCAGGCATCTGTATTTTTGTTTTGTTTGTTTGTTTTGTTTTTGTTTCTCCAGACAGGGTTTCTCTGTATTGTTTTGGAGGTTGCCCTGGAACTTGGTCTGTAGACCAGAGTGGCCTCAAACTCACAGAGATCCGCCTGCCTCTGCCTCCCGAGTGCAGGGATTAAAGGCGTGCGCCACCAACGCCTGGCTGCATCAGGCATCTTACTAATCCTCCTTGTATACTATATGCTTTCATAGGTACAAACTGCAAGTCAACTAAATATGGCAAGGAGTAAGTACCACAAAAACCAAACACAGCTCCAACCTTCAGAAGCCTATAGTCTCCAAAGAAGCTGTATTACACAGGGGACATCAGCCAACTGTGATGTTGAGTATCTGAGATGTAGCAGTGTCATCTATGGAGGCAATGAAAAAATACACTAAACTAGACCATTAAAAAGTGTTTACATTGGCTATATTGTGCAATGATGATATTCCGATGCTTATTCAAAGAGACTTAAAATTAATTTTCCTGTTTCCTTTTTCTCCTAAGGACACAGGGTTTATATATGTGGTTCACCTTGTTTTAGACAAATATACCCAACAAGGGGAGAGGCAAGCATAACAACTAAGCAGGATGATTTCCAAGATGTGTGGATGCCAAGCTGTATGGAAACAAGTGGGCATCAAGAGGACACACAGCAAACTTGCAGGTTACTTGATAACCATGCAGAGTTTGGAGATCTTAGTCACTCCTACCACACATATACAAAAACCATAGATGAATGACTATGATAGTCACTACAGCACATTCTTACTATGCCATAACAGCATGCTGAATGTCTTGAGTATATAGAATAAAATACAAATACAAAATGAATTAACAAATCAAAGCAATCAAGTTGTATGTGTGCATGCAGAAGAGATTTATCTCAGTAGAAACCTTGCCCACACTCAGTTGTAACAGTAGGGCTTTCCTAAACCTTCCAAGTATGAGCTAGCTTGGTGGGAGAGAGCAGGGAATAAAACAGTCCCAAGAAGAACCCAGGAGTCAGAGACAGAAAAAATGAGCAAAAGTAGAACTGCTCACATCAATCCCAGTAACCCTAGACAAATAGGAACTGGTACATTCTTTAGAAGATTAAAATAATACATAGACTATACAGAAAATAACATTTTATCTACTTCTTTACTTCATATAATCATCAAATCTACTATCAGAATTGCCAAAACAAAATGACAAGCATCTTATAAGCACACTCACTAGAGATAGCAGCCACCATAATCCCAAGAGATTGAACAGGTATTTCAGGAACTGGGCTTCTTGACTCAAACCTGTACAAAACAGGTACCTCGTGTTTCAGTAACCTTTGGAAAAAAAACATAGCTATAGTTTCTCTGCTTTAGAGCCACAAATTCTTCACACAATGCTTCTCTGTGTAATCCAGGGTGGCCTGGAACTATGTAAGCCAGGTTTGGTTAAATGCATGGTTATTCCCCTGCCTCAGTTTCCTATCTGCTAGGATTGAAGTTGTGAGCAACTAAGACTGGCTCCTTTTTGAAGTTTTGCTTACTATTTTTTGAGGTGTGGATTTAAATGGATACAAGATTAAAATTCCAATCAAGCGCTGGCAAGTGATCCTTTAAATGACGCATATACAAGAATGCCTTTGAGTTCTCATTCTGCTCCTGTCTCAAGCACCAAGCATTTCTGAAAACTACTTTCCATGAATATAAATTAAAATAAGAACAAAACAGTCAATGGAAGAGGAAAAAGAGCAAGAGGATTTGCTGTTGGATGACAGATTTTAATAAGACTTAAAAGGCAGAATTAACTTCAGCAGCTGGAAGTTATATTGGCTTGCTCCAAAGGAATGTTGCCGCTGCTGTTTGCAAACATGATGAATGCGAGCAGCTTGCAACGGTGATGGATACAAATAAATATTTCATTTCAAAAATGTGTTCTATTGTTGTATTTGTCAATTTCAAACAATTATAAGGGCCCACAGAAATGAACAGAGATGGAAATATTGATCCCATAATATTTTTAATAAATGCACTAACAAGGTGTGCCCTCCAAACAAACAAAAGTCCTGTCTTTTCATCATCAACCCATGTGGGAACCAGAGTCTAGACTGTGAGGATTCAGCTCTCAGTAAGACCACAGCAGGAAAAATAATCAGCAGGCAGTTAAAGGAAAGATGGAGAGAGCCAAGAAGGCAGATCCTAAGTCTGCTCTGCAGGAATCTTCTGATATCTGGGTCACACAGACTGAAGGATATGAAGAGAGCAAAATCTCCTTCTAAGACACAGAAAGGCATCTCTTGTCTTTTTCCTATCCAAAACAAATGGTTGAAAAATAATAAAAACAAAACAAGAAACGGAAATTCCATCTCAGAAAAAACCTGGGTAAAACTTCCTACCAATAACATAGTTCATGAAAGAGTTGCCACAGGCAGTGAAACTCAATCTGGGGTATAAGGTCTTAGTTATATATTCAGACCCAAGATCAATGCCGGAGATTTTGTGGCTCAGATGCAATGGAATTGGCTGAACTACAAACTACCCTGTCAGCCAGTGCCTAGGCCACAGCCATTAAGTCTCTGTAGCCCTCTGCTGCATTCCTGCAGCTCCAAGTCCTGGAACTCGGGGAGAAGTGCTACCATCTCCATGACCCCAGGCCAGCGGCCCAGGTACACTGACTCATTTAGAACTTAGCGGTCAATGAAAAAGGAACACAGCATTCTAGAGAAGACAAATTAACAGAAAGAGAGAAAGGAGAGAAGGAAGCATTCTGGGGGAGGGGCGGTGACAGAAAATATAAGCTAAAACAAAATCAAGCAAACAAACAAAAAACCAAAGGGAAGAAACCAGAAAAGATTTTCCTCAAAGTCAATGACAATCATGACTAGAAATGTCACTAAAACCCACAGGAATTCAAGAAAACCTAAAATGAGTTACAAGCTTAAAGTGTGAAAAATTAAATCAAAACAAGAAATTACTTAATCACTAAAAATCCATTAAAGGGCAAGGAAGACAAAATGAAGAGGAGAATAAAAGCAAATGAAAACAAGGAATTAATTACATATGACTAAAAACATCGAGACAAAAATTGGTGGGCTGCTGGGGATAAATCCAGAGCCTCACTTACATTGGTCAAACACTGTGATACATCCTTGGTGCCTCAAAAGTTAAATTATATGTGTACAACTTCTTTGCAAGAGGATTACAGAACTAATTATAAGCAAGCTTTCCAAGTACTAGCAGGAGTTAAATGTACACACAAGGACATCAGAACACTGCTGAAGAGTGAGAAGGCCCCGAGAAAGAAATGTTCTAAAGCATCCGCTGGTGGAAAAAAATATCAACCTGTGCTTAGACTTCTATACAGAAACATACTTAAGGAACATGGATGAAACCCAAGGCCATTATGATCAATGAAGTAAGCTAGACACAGAAACTAAATGATTGATCTAGTGAAAACATGCCCTGGGCTAGTGGTCACTAGAGACAGGAAAGACAGAGAAGGGGCAAAGACAGAAATCAAGTACCAAAACAAAGAGAGGGGAAATCAGTTTCAGTTTCCTATAGCCTAGTAGGGCAACCTATGGCACTACAAGTGAGATATAAAACAAAACACAAGAAAATACTTTAAAATCCAACATATAAAAATAGTTTGAAGACATGGACATGCATACTGCCTTGAGTTGACATATAATATATGCTGAAAACATATCCTTAAGTATCATCGTATATCCAATA